TTCCTCAATTTTCAAAAAAATAAAAAAAAAATAAAAGTAAATAAAATAATAAATTAAAATAAAAGAGAAATACAAGGTGCTTTAAAATATGAATTGATTTAAAAAATCATTTCCTGTACCTAATTTGTGTGCACATTGCTGCATTTTATTTGATCCAAATATAGTTGTTATTTCTGCTAAAGCTGTACAGTCATCTGGTGAATGAAAAAATGGTTGAGTGCCACTGAGAATACATAGCATCATTACTCCACTTGCCCAAATATCAATGGCTGGTGTTTGTGAAGGATGCTTCAATAAAACTTCAGGTGCACGAAACCCTGGTGTACCGGCTCTTGGTGCTGTTTGCTCTGGTCTAGATGTACACAATGAACAAACTTTTGCTTTTCCAAAACAGTAACACTTGTCTTCTGCACCTTTCTTTCTTGTATGAAGGGAAAGATTCAAATTATTCTAAAAAGTATTAAAAACGACAATTAATATCGCTAAATGTACAATTATTTTCTATAGTTGTAGATAATTGTTACTATACTTCATCTGATCTTTTTCGTTTGAGACATTGTATTTCAGAATTAGTTAATTTGAGATCATTGGGCTTTTTTTCTACTACATATTCCTGTGCTAATCCAAAATCAACTAACAAGTATCTATTGAAATATAAATTGATATATTAAATGTATGTTAAAATTTATATTAAAGTAATTTATACTAGTTTACCTTTTATTACATCGATCATATAAAAAGTTACTAGGTTTAACATCTCTATGTATAATATTAAATTTATGAACCCTTCGTAATGCAGTCAATAATGCTATCATATAATCCTTTGTTTCTTGAATACTCATATCTTGAACATATTCCTATTTAATATTATTAAATTACTACTACCATTTGACATTGTTTAAAATTAAATTAAATTAAACAATAAAGTAATTTACCGAAAATTTATCATGTCTCATATATGGCATTACAAATACTACAGTTTCCAAGTTACGTAAACATAATTCTAATCCAACTACATAATCCTTTCCTCTAAAAAGAGAAACTATATTTATTATTTCTGACATAAATGTTTTTATGTACATGTCATATTTTAAAATATCAATTACCCCATCTGCTGCATACACTGCAATTCTCTTTCAATTTTTTCAGGGTGTCTTGTAGGAACTAAATGTTTTAATGCAAATTTTTTAGAACCATCAGAAGATTTTAAAGTAGCTAAGAATACAGAACTAAAAGTTCCTTCTCCAACTTTTCTGTGCACATGAAATAAATCCTTTACTAGTGGAATTGTGTTTTTAATGGCAATATCGTTTTCTGAAATGATATATCATAATTATATTTATCATTATATTCAAAATAATTCTTGTAAATAAAATTTACCATCATCATTATCTTCTTCCATTTGAATTTTTCCTTCCATAACTTTAGTATATCATTTAACACACTCAATCTTTTAATTAAGTTAGTATTTTGTGAATTGAGTATTATAATAAATTAATAATTGCACGATTTAATATTGAAATGAATTGTCACGTATATGATAACCTGTCGGGTATCAGACGTTGGCGCCATTCTAAATATTT